AAACCTACGTTTATTCGAACGAGTTCGCGAACCAGCATAATCGGACCATGGGAACAGGGGTTTATGGGGGGTTTTATGAGGTAAAAATGGGTTTTCCCATTTTTTAACCTAAAAAAAAAGATTTTGTATTTTCTTTCTCAACCATTTTGTAGAGCTTAAAAAATAAATAATTTAGTATATTGTAGCGCTGTTGTATGCCTAACGGTCACGGAGAAAATTAAAAAAAGTGTAATTTAAAATTCCCATGTTATTCTTATGGAGAAAATGAAAACTTGTAATTTACTTGTTTATGGATATAACGTTGATAAAATTTGGCAAATTTATTTATTTCATCTTATACTATTGACATATTAAAAAAAAAAAACACTTTTACCTTCCCCGAAGCAGCAAACCTAAGGACTCGTTAAATCTAATGTTTTTTTAAATGTTATGGAAATATATAGCTTATGTTTTATTTATGGGAATATTTTAGTATAAATGTAATCAGACAAGTTGAAATTCGCTTAGTCTGCAGGTTTGCTGCGGCGGGGGTATTTTATTTCGTGCCGATTGAAATTCACAGCAGACGGTGACTGTTTAATCGGTCGCGGGGGTTTTGCCTTGAGAGCCACTTGGGTAGAATATGTTTGTAGTCCCGCGGGGTGCGCAGTTTGTATCAGTTAGCGACACTCGGGGCCGATTTTGAGTCCCCCCCCCCTCGGGGCTCTGTGGGTGTCAATTACTCTTAATGAACAGGCTTTGTTTGTATCCAAAACAGACTGGTTGACTGGCCAAGTTGAATATTTACATCGACGGTTGAAACACAGGCGCAAAAAAGAGCTTCGAGTTGTCAATAATTGATCTATAAATCTATATCTGTCTGAAGAGGACATGGTCCTAGAAAAGCCTCAGTCCAGTGAAGTTTCGGCTCCGTGGACTGAATCATTGTGAAATAACGTCTACAAACTTAAATACTGTAACCTATACAGATTTTGAAAAAAGCTGGCATGTACAGTATAATCATTTACGTCTATGTTACATACATAGTTTTAGTGTGAGCATTGCACTACATAGTGCCATTTACTATACACAGAATATGATAGTACTAATAATAGACGAATTCCCTTGACGAATGTTTTCTATTTTGGACAACACACTTATGAATCACGAGTTTTAACAGGAAGCAGTTTGGAAATGTATCTATTTAATATTTTACATGCATTTTCTTCATGCTATGATTTAGAATTTAATTTTCTCAATATGAGTTTTCAGTTTCCGTATGTAACTATGTGTATGTAGTTTTTGTATGTATGTAGTGAATGGCGTGTAACTATTTACAGTTTTGTATAATTTTTATGACGGTTCGTAGTCTTTTTATGTTTAAGTGTTTTGCATGCTACGGTTATTTTTATCGTGTCTATATTAGTGCTTCTGTTATATTAGTTCTGTTCCTATCTATTTTGAACTTAGGTCTTAGGTGCATTTGTAGTACAGTTTGGATTTTTAAATTCAAGCAAATAATGGCCAAACCACTATAACACATAAAACATACACAAATATTATTTTTGAGAAACTACATAGATATAAATTGAATAACATGTTTTTCAAAGTAAGCGAAAATGCAAGAGAAGTGAAAAGTCGACATTATATTACACAACCCTTGTACAGTGAAGCGACCGAGGTAGCGATAAAGTGGAAATCCAACGAGCAGAAAAAACTCGCCCATGTGAGCCAGTATATGGCCAGGTCGTTGGACCCTTGAAATACAGTTTAATTTGGCTCTGTTTTTCCAGCGGGTGGTTTTAATTAAGCTGGATCCGGGGGAAGAGGGTTGCCGTGGAAACGTACGATCGTGAATCAACCCTCCCTTTCCCCCTTTCCACAGTTCCCCCGCCCCTCTTCCCCCATTGTCGACAATGAGGCTCTGTACCAGAATACTCTGATCAAAAGACTGTCTCATAACTGGGAATGAATGCCTTTACGTCAAAAGCCGAATTTCTCTGGTGAAATTCTGGTCTTTGTAAAGGCCAACCCGTGTTTTCATCAGTCTGTAATCGGAGTTTGATACGTTTTTTGGACCGTTCAGTGGAAATTGAAATGTCAAAGTTGGGAATATATCAATTGAATCACTAGTTGGTTACAAAAAGTTTGAAGTTATTGTATTAATATATAGTAACATCAAAATACTCTATACATTTTATTGAAACTTGTGAGTATTTGTTATAGCCTGTCAGTTACAATTAGCATACCCCCTCCACCTAAGCCCATGATATAGAAATAAGGGTGCATTGAGTGCACCGTGTATCTTTGGTAGGATAAACAACTGCAGAAAAAATAGCGTTTGCATTGACACAAGAAATACTTAGTGATAAATAAACAAAGGACAGGAAAACAAACAACATCGAAAGGGCAGTTTATCTTCTGTGCCAACCCTAGGGGCGTACGTCCTGGTGGTTGCTTTGATTTAAACTGCAAAAAGAAAAAAAAACTCCTTATTTCTTCTTAATTGAATTTTTTCTATGTATCGAAAAAGGTAGTTAATTTATGAAATCGAACTTTTATCAATTCAATTCTTGTGCTGCATGTTTGTGAGAAAACCTCAATATGCGAGCTATCAAAACAGGTTAATTTTTAAACCGAATTAACTCAAATAAATGAAACATCAGCTTTTGAGAGGCTGAGTAAGGAACTTAAACGCTAAGTATGAATGAATAGTATGTTTTATCTATGACTAGCTGGCCCGACAGACGTCGTCCTGTCCTATTGTGGTTTTCTGTCACATGCTCGTTCATTTTCAAGATGAGCTCGTTCGCATGGCTCAATCACGTCCTGGTTGAAGTTCGTTCGCTACGCTCACTCACCTTTAGGTTGGAGCTCGTTCGCTGCGCTCACTTGCCTTCAGGTTAGCTCGTTCGCTACGCTAACTCGCCTCCAGTTTGAAGTTCGTTCGCTACGCTCACTCACCTTTTGGTTGCAAATTAGCTGTTCTCATAAATTAAAAATAAATATAGTGCTGCAACCTGTTGGTAAACCTATTAACTTTTTAATGCTATTGAACATCACAGAATCAAATTATTTAGTTGCACCAGCTGTTAAGATTCTTTAATTCCATTTAAATATGAGTACTCATAAGGTTTACATGGGAAACTCCAGAGCCACTGGGGCGGAGCCCTATTGACGGATCTGCACCAAACTTCACACAAACCATCCTTGAATAATGCTTAATAATGCCTGAAAGTTTCATTACAATCTGTCGAGCGGTTTTGGAGTCCATAAAGGACAAACATACAAATATACAAACATACATTGGATTTTATATATATAGATAATAATATTACGTTATTTCCCACCTCATATGATTTTACAAGGCAGTTTTAGAAATCTATTCAATATAATGCTGTAAGCGAATCTGTCCCAGGAAATATCTCTAACTAGGTTAAAGGTGGCATGGCTGTTGAGGGTTCATTTTGAAGCTTAAAGCCCAAGGACAGTGGGAAAAATATAAGAAGTGTCAAATATTTCCCATGCTCTGCCCCACAGGCTGTCAAAGATCCAGTCATTTCCTAATGAAAGTACTGTAGGCCTACCGTGTTTCTAGAAGCTGTTTTAAATATACCAGCTGATGTAAACATTGTGTATTTGTTTGTCTATTGATTTTAGTGTTCTGTTTTATGGTTAGAATGGTAAAACAGTGTTAAAATTTGTCGTGTTAGGGGAAGACCGCGACTACGAAGGAGAGTATTTAGGAATAGTGCACAGCATAGGGAAGGCCAAATTACAACGGAGGTAAGGACAGCAATTGCTGCTATGGGCCCCTAGTTAATAATTTAAGCGTTTCTGAAAATAAGCAAATAACCCATCGATACATACATAAGTTCGTTTTAACTCAATTTCGGATCCTTGTATTTTCGACTTTTTAAATACTTTGAACTTTTCAACGATTTTCGCTATTGCTCTGATTACTACATGCATTGTCAAGGTTCCAGCTTGCCAATCATGTAGTTGGGGTGTTAATCCATGACAAATGACAAACATACTAACGGTTATCCCGACTTTCGTCATGCCACTTTAATCTATCTACCGTGATACTGTACCGGTACAACTTTTAACGGTATATCGATATTGACTTGAAATAGGCCTACAGTGGCTGACAGCAGTTCCAAACGTAACTATCAGCTATCAGCATAGACAAAACATACTCATTGCTTGAATCATAGCTATGATCCTAGCTATTCCTATCAGGGTTATATGTGTTTCGGCAAGACGCCATTGTCAATCACAACTATCAAAGAATACACAAATCCTCAATCCCAGGAAGGAAGAATGTTCCTGGGAACATTCCTGGGAATAATGTTGCCTGCAGAAGAGGACATGGTCCAAGAACAGCCTCAGTCCGGGGGTTCGGCTTCCTGGATTGAAACGTCACGAAACTAACTAAAATCGGCTTGAGTAGCTTCGTTCATGAACACACTTGACACGTGACATTTACACCAACAGGTTTACTGCTAACACGATGGCATATCAAAACACTGCCGCTTCCAGGCAGCAGGAACTAACGTCACGTCGGTGGGTTCGTCGTTCAAGTGTGGTGTTGAATTTTGAACACGACATCCCGCCGAAACACAAATCATCCAGATTGATATGGTTGGAACTGGAAATGAATCACAGAAAAGGCCTATAGAGTAGCCACTCATTTTAGTGGTATTACAATACTAGTTGTCTCCAAATTGTCATGACATTTGATAGTATTGGAAAGTATTTAAATGAGTGCTTTTTTATAAAACTACATTAGACAGTCAAACAATTGCAGATAACTCTACTATTTTCAGCTCCTACGTTTAAACGTTAATTTAATTACTTTGACAATCTTATAACATAGAAATCGAACGTCATTTAGCAATCTGACAGCTCTATGTGGAATCTGAAGTAGCGTCAGCATCTGCAATTTTGGCCTTGTAGTTTCTAGATTAATTCAGTATGAGTTTTAACATCGATATTGTCATGTTGAAGTCAAGACCTACCTTCCAACGTCTTGTTCCTGGCTAGCAGCGCCAGTAGCACGTCTGGGTTGGGTGTGTGCGGTGGCGCTGGGGCGTGCGCCGCGTGCAGATGGTAGAGGAGGCCTGGTGGCGCTGGTGGCGCCCCCTGGTGTACGGCGGCGCACATGTCCGCGGCACCCCACCAACCAGAGTACCCGAGGATTTTCGAGTCGGTCCTCAGGTCCTGGGGCGCCGGCCCAGCGGAGTCAGCGATGGCGTTAATCTTCGAGTCCTTACCGAGTCCTGGAGTTCGCAAACGATCTGCCACTTGGGTTTATATCACTCACGGTTCACACACTTATGGGTTGATCCATTGAGGATTGTGGGTTATGTTTTGAAAAATCCTTTCAAGGTTCTGAAATGTTAGAGAAATTGTATTTACTGAGAGTTTTGTACAAGACTTCCCATCCATATGGAAAGTTGGATTTAGCAATTTATTTAGTGTGAGTCCGGGTCCTAGCACGACACAGATTGACTGAAATGTCAGCTGATACACGGTTTGTTGTCTATAAATGACTATATTTATGTGTTACGTATACTTCTGTGGCCGTAAAAAAGGTAAAATACAACTTGATTCGCGTTCTATGAACTAACTAATAAATTCCTTATTTGTCCTTCTTTCATAACCTTCATTTTAAGGTTTTGAATAGACTGGAGATGTCTCCATATATGGAAAGCTAATATTTTCCATCCAGTATTTGGAATGATTTTACGTGTGAATACGGATTCATTCATTAACACGCATTGGGCAATCAGCTGATTTAATAATAATATTAGTTTGTATTTTATTATGAAACAGGCCCAAGATGTATTTTCCCTCTTATTTAGTGATATATTATGATTACGTATATAGAAACTATGAATCTCGTTGTTATAGTTGAAGTTGACAATCAGCTGATTTTGCAGCCAACATTTGTCCTGCTGGAACTCTGACCTACAAAATTTGGCTACAACTTTCACTACTTCTGTGGCACATCTACATGGCATGCTAGCTTGTCTCAGTTTGGTCACAGAAAACATATTGTAGTATGTTTTCTGTGGTTTGGTTTAGTATAATTATTTTTACAATGTAGCAATAGCTTTTTAGTATAGCAAACACGAACTGTTAAACATGTTCTGCAGTAATTTACACCAAAGATCTTCCATAAACGTACGATAATAGTATTAAATGAGAATGAGTGATGTTAAATTGTGCCTTGCGACGGCTTTACGGAATGAAACATCTCTAAACCCAACGATATTAGCTAAATTTGGTAATTATTACAATTATTTTATTTCCGCTTACTAGCTTACACATTGTATATGTTATATTTCCATGTTACACTCCAATTCATGAAGAAAGCTCGTTTTATATCAGCCCTAAATAAAAGGTTAATCCTTACTTTTGGAAAATTTAAAGGATTAAATACGTCGGAAATGAATAATAATTATAACATTTCTTGCTATTTCTGGCTTTTCTGTAGTGTAGGTACTTCGAGAGGAAAGATGTGTGAAATAGAAAGTTGCACCGACAGACGAACGTGGCTCGGTGGTCTAGGGGTATGATTCTCGCTTAGGGTGCGAGAGGTCCCGGGTTCAAATCCCGGCCGAGCCCGCTATATCTTTTTGTTAACTTTTTTTTAAAGGAAATTAATTTGTATTAAATGGACATTCTTTTCAGTAGATCTTTTCATTATACTTCATGTGATTTCCTACTGTAGTGCTGTTAGATCGTTTAAATATACCAATAAATATACAAACTACTCTAAGTCTATACCTAGGTTGGTTAAAGTTGGTTAGAGAGTTTGATCTTCCAAAATCTAAATAAGCCTGTCTATTTTATAGGATACCTAGGTGACTATTTTATGTAATTGGCCCAATTTTGTAATAAAACCTTAATTGAAATCATTCGTGCAGATGCAGAATGAGAATATAAGGTCCATGAGAATATGTATGCTACCGAGCATCATATTGTATAATTTTTATGTGAAAATCCCCTTATAATTTTGACATCTTTTCTTCCATTGCACTAATTTTACTATCAACTTAAGCTCGATGCTAAATTTTAAAATTTTGGCCAAGTTTTATTTGCAATAGTAAACAATGTGTTTATACGTAGTTTATGCATATATCCCGTTTTAAATTTATTACTGGTCATAGTGCCTACACTGTAGACAGCAACATAATATGGTAGTTATCGAAATTGTAGAAAATATAGGTGAGGCATATTGTACTATAAACTATACATAATTATTGCAAACTATCACATATCCCATTTACATCATGTAACTAAAACGACGAATAAATAAACTTTTGTTCAGCTAGTATTACATATTTACCAAGTGCTTATTTACCGAACACGGTATAGAAAATAAATATATTCGATGAGCCAAGGATACGGCATTTTTTCACTTCATAAAAAAGGCAATTGTTTTAGACTATAGACATTTTATACATAATTGTGATACTTTTAGGGGCCATACTGAAGGGTGGATATCGTATCCTACAATACTTTTCAAATAAGCAATACATTAACAGTAATAACTCATTCAAAATGCGAGATTATTTAGATAGGTAGGCTACATGTTAAATAGGAACCAATCCATAAACAACTAGTCATAGCATGGTGATACAATTAATACACGTTTGAAACATTTAATTTGTATTTATTTCGTGTGTAGTAATTTTTAAAAGTATTGAACCAATTTTGAATTAGAATGTATCTATTTGCCGAAATTTAACCGTGATTCCATATAAGTTCTATTGGACAAAATCCAAAATGCAAATTTTTTTGATAAATCTATGTTTAACCTAAATGTAGAGCTACGAGTTACGTATTTTGAATTTTGAAATAAGTCATCACAATAACTAAAAACACAATCTTCTTAGTTACCATTAGACCAAAATATTACAAAATGGGATCGGAAATACGAATTGTTGTAAGATTGAGGAACAACATGAGTCAGTATTAGAAAAGGTTTAAACTCATTTACTGTACTGTAAGCTTGTAAACTAATGAAAGTATTTATGCTAAAACACATAACTACATTAGATAACTAAAATCGCTAAAGAAAACACGAGGCACAAAGTAGCGTGCTTGAGTATGATCATAAAATAGGGTTGTGTTTTAAAATATAAAACTCAATCATATAACTTCTTGTGGAAATTATATTTATAAGAGATTCCCTATAGAATTTCTTACATGTAACAATCTCAATAAGTTTATAAACTAAAAAATCGCAACATATTTTTTCTCTAATTTACTACTGAACCAAAGAGCGTTTCATAAGTCAATTACCTTTGTCAATTAACTGATACTGCAAACTCCTTATCGACCTTTACAAAACGCATTAGGTAATTAAATCCCAATAGAACAACCCTTTCACCTCAAACCTTTTCCTGGTACAAAAACGTCGGCGAACCGCACGGCGCACACACGTCAATACCGCCTTTCATACAATCACCACACTACGGGAAACCGCACTCGGGAAAACTGAATAAAATTACCGCAATAAAATGCGGTCGAATCACATAAATAACATCAGAAAGAAGCGGACGGTCGAAGGCGGCTAGAATCGTCCGTGTTTAATTTGCTAAGTGAGTCGCCATCGCGGTGCATCAGTAGATTAGCGCCGGAGTGCGCCGGCGTCGCCAGGATCGATGCTGGCACGTGATTGGTCCAGCGTGCCGACGCCGCGCCGCGAGTACCCTACACTCAGCGGCTTCTGCGGATTTTACAGAGGGATTTTTGGTTGACATTGTATTACTTGTTCCGCACGTTGTTTCGATAATTAAAGGACGGTCTGTGGGTTTCACGGGTTTAGAATGTTTGCACATTTCAATATTGGGCTGTCAACTTGACCCGGAATTAAATGTTGACACCAAGTTGAGATCAACGAATCTCTGGGCGGAGTGGCCTGAAATGGAATTTGATTCGTATTCGGAGTATGAGGTTTATATGGGAAATGTTTTAGAAGGTACTACCTCAGTAAGAGACCTGTAAACGTTATAGGTTAGTTGGTACTTGGTGGAATCCTTCAAACAATAAATAGGCTAAGATACTGGAATTACAAGACTAGTATTTCCAAAATTATTGACTACATGTGGCCGAGTCGCGAGTCTTTGGTGAAAGTATAGGTGTTCCCATAGGAGACCCCGAGCACGACTAATAAAAAAGCATTCTAATGAGAGAGTGACTGGATTTACCTTAAAAGAGTCGAATCGAGTGTATTTGGAATGTCCAAAAAAAAACCTTATCTGACATTTACCAATGAACCGGTGATGCACTAACCATCCTGAATGATTCATTAGTTGGCTTAAATGACTACACAGGATATTACCATTCAATGTCCACATGTTTCATGCACTTTCCTGCAATCAAACACAATATCTCGCCAGGTTAAATGACTAAAGACTAAAGCAAAGTAAACTTTTAGTGTTTTTTTTTTACAAATTGGCAATGCTATATGATTTACACCATGTAACTACAGTATGTTCGTATTTTTCACGATTGCTTCAAAATAGCAAAACAGCAGCAAGTTGAGCAAAATCCTTTAGGCTACATCTGTAAAGGAACACGATCAGCAAACATGAATATGCCACTGAGAGGGGACTGTCATTATACGAGTAATTCTAAATTCCCTTTACGTTTGTCACCAAAGCAGGGTAAACGAATGCAATTATGTTTCACGACGTTTCTTTTTTTAATTTCTTCTCCGGGTTATTATAAAAAACGAATGAGTTAAGTACAGAAAGAGAAAGGTTGATTGCGCCGTTAAACCACGTTGGCCACATACAGATTGGCCAATGGTTTAAGGGTCGTTTCTAACATACAGATTGACCAAAGGTCCTAATGAGTAGGGGCAAAAAATGGGGGCGGAGCTTACAGCATTGATGTCCCGTGGGGGAGGAGCTTGTCTATTCAAGTCAAGTGTTTGTTGACGTTTTCTAATCTTACCTGTCACAGAGGTGGCCAAGCTCAAGAGACGAATTTTACTTTTTAAAACACTAAGTTTTATGTAAACTGTTAAGTAAACAAATAAGGTTTTTAAATTCAACTTTAGCATAAACAACACAGTGCGGTATTCTAATACAAATAATAAGCTGTAAAATATAACTAATTGCTTATTAACTCACTATCAATTTCTTTTCAAGTACACAAAGTACATTTTTTGGGAGGTCGAGTTGGTTACGAAATTGTTTTACCTAGTTATAGCAATAGGGATAATGTTATCATTTAAAAGTCCTGAAGTGGTTTTTAAGATTCAAAGCATAAGCATTCTCGTTTTTATGTGTATACCCGTTGTTTGAAAATTACCTTGAATATCTGTCTTAGTATTTCGCACACGATGTTCATTATTTTTAAGTTCACAAAATCAATCTAGCAATATTCATTATAGGAGTAGCATTTTAACAAAAGTTCAAAAAAAGAAAGAGATATTCTATTGGAAGTGAAATAACCTGAATAAAATGTTCTACTACCACAGAGTATAAAAATCTACTCACTTACCGTATTCAACATTTATGTAAACCAAAAATTAAAATTCTAAACTTCAAATAATTTTTAACATTTTGCCTTAAAATCCTGAAATAAATAACAATTTGTTATTAATATTCAGTCAGATACATTTTCAGTTGCCGCTAAAAGAAAATAATAAATCCAAATTGGAGGTACTGTATTATTCCGTTTGGATGATATCCCGTGAAAGCATATAACCTCGTCATATTAGCTTTTAAAACTGCATAGTTTGTGCTGAATTCTGTTGTCAATCGTCTGAACTTGTGCAAGTTTACAATGAAATTTTGTTTACATCAAAACATATGTCCATAGTACAATTTTGTTTACATCCATACGAAAATTGGGTTATCTGTAAGTCGGTGATGTTTAAGTTAAATCAAGAAAATGTTGTATTATCTTTACTACAGTATTATATAAAAATCTAATGGTGTCTGTCTGTATGTGTGTTACTAATAGGTGCAAAAACTACTGAACAAACTGGGCTTAAATTTTACAAAATTATAGCTACCACAACAAGGAACATTATTGGACTATTCTAGTAGGCTTTTGCCCCTTTGGCTTTAAACGTTCTGAGGTGAACATTTTAAAAGGACAGTAAATATTGATTGGTCTCAATGGCTGCAATGAGAACACTAACAATGTTTGTTTACATTTGCTTTGACATTTAAATGTAAACAAGAAGAACTGCTAAACTGCATATTTCACAATTTCAGACAGCTGATACAAAGAAATTAAATATAATAGTTTCCATAATTATGAGGTAGGTGTATTTTAATCTAACATTTTATAATGGATTATTTATTATAAAACTATGTCAATGATTATAGAAAAGAAAAGATTCTATAACCGTTGCTGTATCAACTCCGGCTCTGCTTTGGATTTTTTAAAGCGTCTCAAGTTATGAAAATAATGTTATTGATATGTTTTCACGGAAACAGTATGAAAATTACAATGTATAGATGTTTTGTATGATTTTGGAGGCAACGTTAAATAAATTAAAACTGTTTAACTTGTGTTAGATTAACTTAACATAACGTGCACATCACATTGTTTTTTATATGTATATTTAGGTAAATTAAGTTATTGTGTTTTGCTAAACCTATGCTTAAATTAAACTAAAGAATATTATCATCAATAACTAAATTGTACGTCGTTGATTTTTGTTCTAAAATCTGTTGTATATGTGTAACTATATTTAATTATCAAATGGTAATACAAAATACTCTTTTTTATCTTAACATAGCTTTCAGTTCACATTTACTTTATTTGATACATTTATTATTTGTGTTTTGCCACACCACTGATTAAATTAAACCAAGGAAAATATCATAAAACTAAGCATTACACAGTGTTCTTTTGTTTCTAAAATCAATGAAATATCTGTTACTATGTTTACTTAATGGTAGGTGTGAAAATGTAAAGGCAATGGACGATGGAACTGATTAAAAGAACTGGTTTGTACTGTATATTAAGTTGTTTGTTGATATTTTTTATAGAGTAGAATCAGACTTGCAATGAAACATATACTGTATTTGCTATTATATTTTTTAGTCCTTGATGCTTTGATAATCATATTAGTTTTGTCTGCTGTCTTTAATGCTGAATTATTTGTTTAAAATTTGTTATAGTACCTATAGATATAGTTTCTTTAATATTTCAAAAGACTGTATTGATAAGGCACAGCAATATTTCTTAAGTTTATAACAGCTGACTTAGTTTTGCTAATGATTTATTGTGAGTGAAGAAACAGAAGATGGATTTGTGATCTAAATATATAAAAGGCAAAGCCCTAACTGACTCACTCACTCACTCACTCACTCACTTATCACTAATTCTCCCACTTCCCATTTACCTAGGGGGCTGAAATTTGGTACATTGATTCTTTAGGCATTAAATAGGAAAACTAAGCTGCTTTTATTCTGATCGGACTCTCGGGCTCCGCCCCAGTGGCTCTGGAGTTTCCCATGTTAACCTTATGAGTTCTCATTTAAATGGAATTAATTAATCTTAACAGCTGGTGCAACTAAACAATTTGGTTCTGTTCTATGATGTTCAATAGCATTTAAGTTACAAGGATTACCAACAGGGTGCAGCACTATTATTTCTTTTACATTTATGACAACAGCTAATTTTCAACCAAAAGGTGAGTGAGCGTAGCGAACGAACTTCAACCTAGAGGCGAGTTAGCGTAGCGAACAAGCTAACCTGAAGGCAAGTGAGCGCAACGAACGAGCTCCAACCCAAAATTGAGTGAGCGTAGCGAACGAACTTCAAGCAGAACGTGATTGAGCCATGGGAACGAGCTCACTTATAAAGTTAAATGGGGCAAAGCCCGCGGGTACAGCTAGTTTGATATAAAGAAGAGTGAAATTTAAAAAAAGTGTTAATTTAATTGAATAGGTAATTAGTATTTTTGCAACTTCAAAATTGATATTTAAAATGTCAATAGTAAATTAAAAGATATTTAATTAAGGGAGATGAAGGTAAATCATGCATGTCAAAGTTGTATTCAAAGATTTTGTCAGGTTTTCTCATATCAGCCTACACAAGATTTAAAATTAATCGAAAACAAAATGGTGCTATCCGCTACTTAGCAGTTTTAAAAGTTATAACTTAAACTTTTCTTTCAAGGCCATAAAAGTTGAACTTTGTTTCTAAAAGCGTTTGCGGATGTGTAACTATTATATACAACAGAGGTAAAGATTAAAATTAAAATGTTTCTATTTTGTGTCCTCTTCCCGTTGCAAAGCACGGGTACAACAGCTAGTTTTTTGGTATAAAATGTAAAGAAGAAAATGGTTTACGTTAGATTTTATCGTTTTCATTGTATGTGTCATTAGTATTATTAATCTTTCTGACGTTTTCTTTGAAGAGATGGCGCACGCAATGAAAATAATAGAGATATGATGAGACATCATGTTTTTACCCTTAAAATCTACAATATATCGTAGTACTAATATTGTGAAATTTTGTG